GGGGGGGGAAGAGTTGGTAATGAATAAAACTTCAATCATTTAACAAAAAATCGCATGTGATGCTAGGAACTGCATAAACACGGACTTACCAAAACACCCGTGACTAAGGAAATGCCCCGACCACAGTAGGTATTTGCGACAACATCACCATAGCCGATGCTCAAAAATGTGACAGCGACCAGCCACAGCGAGTTGAGGAGATTTTCAAAACCAGGATCATGAACACTAGAAAATGAACATGAAGCATGCTAATAACTTCAAACTGAATGCAACTCACTCAATTCACCTTCCAAAGCAAGCTTGATAGAGTGCATTAGGAACAATAAACTATCAATGGCCTCTTTAAACGAGCAATCTGCATGTGAAACAATGTACTTCGTGCATTCATAAGGAACGCCTTAGTGCTTAATTAACTTGATTTTAAGGTTAAATTTTGGACGTTTTTTTGGAAATTAAAAAAAAGGTATTCTCGTCTATGTTGACTGCCATCAATAATTTCATTAATTAGTTTTGATTGCATGATATATTTTCATGATAAATTGTGAATATATAAATGGATGAAATAATTTTTTTCAAAGAAAAATTACTATTTTGGGGGCTTAAACTTGCTTACACAATATGCAAATAAACCAATATTTCTAATCTTAATCAAATACTGAATTGGAGTGTGAAAAGTAGCATTGTCAGTTGCGTCAACTAATCTTGGGTACCGAGAGGTCATAATTAGCACAAGATAAGGAGATCAAACCCTTTAGTGTTGTTACAAGTGTCAAATCAAATCCTGAAAATTGAGAATAGCCTTATCTGAATACTATTTAAGGACTCACATTCGCATGAAAGGCGTTGAGATAATCTGATACTCATGAAAGCCTGATCTCATTGCATACTCCGCTTCTTCATCGTTAAATTGTAAACATAATTAGCATTTCTAGGGAGGGTAAAAATGACTTTACGGAATTGTAACTTAAGCACTCAAATTACGCCCAATGGTGAAAGGAGCTTGCACTGCCATTTAAAAAAAGCATTTAAATTTCTCTCCCCGGTTTGAAAATTTTCGCCTAATTGATTAAAGCTTTATCAGCGACTGCTAATGGAATTATTTACTTTGGAAGTGAACCTCGTTTATATTAAGCTTATTTCATGACGAAATGGAATGAAGAAAACAGTGCAGAAAATTGAATTTGTGAGGAAAAAGCGCTTGATCGTTGGAATTAAGTCACTACCGCATGTAGCGTCTTAGCAATGAATTTGGATATGCTCTCCCTTAGAATTATTTTCGGAATTCATGCAGTTTATTCACACTTTCATTGGCTTTTGATTAAGTATTATTTCAATGACTAATCAAGTTTAGATCCACATACTTCAAATTCAAATTTCATGTGCTTGTTGTCTCCCTAAATCAACAATTATGAGTCAATTTTATCCCCCACCAGTAAAATTGCTTTAGTTTATACCCATGTTAAAAGAAAAATATTCCATTTTGCTGATCTAGTATTCTCTAGCAGCAATAACACTCGTGATATAAAGGGTCTCAGTTCTTTTTGTCACAAACCTATCTCAAAGATATTCTGAATTTATTTGACTTTTCAAAGTCCTGCATTGAACCCCGTTTATTGGCACAAAAAATAAATAGAAATGCATTTTATGGGTCTTATACGTAATTATGAATGCTTTGAATAAATTTATGCATAATTTCAAAACACGAGGTAGTTAAAAATACGTACTTTCTAAATCTTTAAGATGCTATTCCAATGGCGTTAAAGATGTATTTGTAAGTTATCTCTTCATTGGATTCGGTACATACCTTCTAAGGGTCTTAGGCACCATATATTCACAAGTATTTATTAAAACTAAAATAAAGGATATAAAACAATGTGAATTGAACAATAGCAGCATGAAGTAAGCGCCCTTTCTCACGTTGGCTTTCAGGACACTCAACATAATTCACTTTTTCTGCCTTTCATAAACTGAATTAATGCATCCATTTAATCGAACGCAAATATAAACTCCTACCAATCAAATCGTGTCATTCATTGGGCGGAAAAAAGATAATAAGGGAAAAAATGGAACCTAGTCGATAATAAACGCCTTATTAATATTTCAAAAATATCAACCCCCCCCCTCCCCCCACCCCCCAATATCGACACACAAAAAATAGTAGTTGAGTTGGTCTAAGTCACTATTACCGACAGTCAAGGTAATTTTTAGGACATGGGGAAAATTCGTGTAGAGGGACTTTCCCCCCTTCATCCATTACCTTCAAGAAGAACAATTTTTTTATAAAAATGTTGTGGATTCTTTTGTTCTGGGGAATATTTATACCACTGGTCACTATCACTAGCCGTATTGCTAAAAAAAGCCCCAGATAGCTTTGCGCTCAAAAAAATACAAATTTTAATATTAATTCGATTGAATTGTTTAGGAAAAAATAATTCTACACCATAAAAGTCTTCTATTTAAAAACTGCAAGAAGGAAATTCCTCTTGTACCCAAGCGCACATGTATTGACCAAAAATAAACAAATTATTTTGCCGATCTTAACTTCAAAATGTTAGCAGATTTCAAAGATGTATCAACTTGAAAGAACATTTCACTCTCTCCCCAAAATTACAACGGTAACATGGTTACATATGTTCGGAAGAAATTGTCAACTCCGTAAAAGATAGCTCCCAAATTTAAAAATTTAAACTTTTTACACTGCTTAACAAAATGGAATAGATAAAAATAAGTCAACGATTTGTTGCAGCTACTAATTTTCATCACGAAAGAGAACTATATAGAAAACAAACGCTGAGAAAGGGATGCTGATTTTTTATGGGACTTGATCTACATCAAAAGTTACCATTAAAAATGCTTCTGTATAACCATTTTGAAGTGGTATTTTAATATAATTATCTCCTGTCATCGATTAATATCACAATTTGCTTGCCAGTTGTAAGATTTAAACTCATTGGAGGAAACGCTTAACACTTTACCGGAGTTGAGATGAACGCGAAAATATGGTGATTAATTAATATCGGGGGGGGGGGGGGTTTAAGTAACTATTCACACCATTAAGATAATCGATAGCCAGTAAAAGTCTTTACCGTTCGCAAGCCCGAAGCATCCAAGCAAGGACAGCCCAGAATCCAATAATGAAGGCAACGAGCACAGTCCCAGGACAAATAGTCATGAATGTCTTAAACACGAATTGTGTTGTGAAGTTCACTTTGTTCATAGCTCCAATACTCCTCGATCCTGTGTCTGTGAATAGCTTTGAGTGCAGCATCACAACCCGAAAGATGAGATAAAGTCGAAGGAACATAGGCAATGAGAGGATAATATCGATGGACACCACTTTGTTCGAGGAGAAAATGTAGTGGGGACTTCCAGAGAACTGGGGTGTTGAAGATACGGTAAAAAGGCTGGAGTTTGTGGTGATGTTCACACAATGTGCACAAGAAAGAATGAGTTGGCCTCCTACGAGGAAATAGGAGGAGAACCAGGTGAATACAAAGTTTCCAGGAACTGGATGAATCGCACACACCAATATCTCCAGAACCAGTTTGGCTACTCGAGCCCGATCCCAAGCTATTTGCCAATCTTCTATACAGTCGTCAAATGAAAGGATCTACAAAGTGGATAAAAAGATCTTGAACACCCATCATACACCAGCGACGCGGCAAATCTGTGCCATGGAAAGTTCTCATAAAATGGCCCATGGAGATCACGTGACTCGACCTAAGCGTGATGCTCAATGCTGAACCCCCTTTTATCACACGGTATGCTTAGGTTTTTTCAAAAAAATAATGATGAATACATCTCTGCAGGTAGATGGAAAGCTTCCTCAATTTTACAGTATTAAATGGTGAGTAGAATTTTAAGTTCTTTTTTCAAAATAACTTGACAAACTCTTCGTGCCGAGATAATTGAACAACTTCAAACTTCAAATATATTAAAGTGTGACATAATTGAAAAGACGTTTTCTTGTTGCGCAGTTGTTTACGCCTTGACAATGCTGATGACAATTAAAGCCAACAAAGTGTTGTCTTGCAGTTGGCAGAATCTGCATTCCACTTGGAAAAATTCGAGCCTTGAGAGGAAACAGGTGTTTTCCCTTTTTTCCCAATGACCGAAAGCCAGAGTAAACAACGACTTTTTGCCCTACAAAAACCAGCCGTACCGCTTTCAGAAGGTAAATAAGTTCACTTCAAAATGTTTTCATGTAAAACACTTGGAGGAAAAATATGGCTATTAGGTAACTCCATCAATTAAGAAGGAGGTTTAGAAAAATTTCCGATAGTAGCAGTTAGCAAGAAAATATTTAGAGGATATATATATATATATATATATATATATATAAAGGTTAAGTTAATATGATTTTAAGGTTGAAATGACAGTCATGAATGGCATAATCACTTTGATTTTAGAGATTTGTTTTTTGCATAAAATCGTCCCTAAAATTGGAAAATTTAAAGTCATTTTTGGTGACTGGCAAGATATTAGCTCCACGAATGGCAGCCGTAGGTTAGTTGTTAATGTAAATATTTTTGTTTTATTTTAAAAAGGTGGCTTATGCATGACTCTGACACCAGGGGTTAAATAGATATTCGCTAGCATTGGCAAATATACTCGAGGGATGCACATAAATGATTCATCAATTTTATACAGACTGTAAATGATAAAATAAGCGGACAAATGCCAGTTTGCCTGTTACTTCATGTCCATCCTACTTTCAATTTATAAAATGTTTTTAAATATGAAGACCCAGAAGGTAACATATGCTATAAAGACCTATCGAATGATGATAAATCTTCCTGTCAAAGAAGAATTTAGGCTTTTAAGTAAAAATGCATTAAACGCCAAACACTTTCTAAATGGGTCAACATTCCACCTCCAATCACATAGGCTTCAGTTTCTCACTAACTTATTTGAAATAGCTTTTAACTAAAGTATTTTTGCTGCCAAGTTCAATAAATAGACAAAGTGGCACATCCTTTGTACATTCGAGCACGCAGAAATATGGCAGAATTTAAAAGAAAACAAAGATTTAGAGAATTTGGAATGCGAGTTTAACATGAAAGTCTATAGAGTGTATAAAGTGGCTAAATTGTAGAAAAAATTGGCTATATCTTCATCTGCAACACAGCTTTTCTGCCCCTTAGGTAGGAGACATTTATTAATTTCAAATGTCAGGCGTTTTGATGGTTAACATTATCCCTTTAGTTAACTTCGGACTTCACAGAGGGAAGAAACATCAAAGTGAGAAAAAGTTGAGAGGGGGAAAGAAGAGTGATTCACAGGTGTAAAGAGACAGGGGATACAAAGGCAGAGAAAAGGCAAGATGAGTACTGTGAAAGTGGTAGAAGATAACATACGTAGGAGTCGAGGGAGTTTGAAATCAAAGTCAACTACCGGTTTATAGACTTTTTGTCGCATGAGTATACGTTGCCCAGGATGCACCACGTTTATCGCACACCCCCGGTAAGAGACATGATAGTACACAAAAACACTTGAAATTAGTGATGCAGTTAAATTTATCAAAAGCTCATCTACTTAGATGTAAAAATAAGCTATATAAAGTGAAAGTAAATGTTAATTTAGCGCTCCAAATACATAATATAATCCTATATGTCACTTCTGAAAAATGAAATTTTAGAACGAAAAAGGGCATTTTGTGAGTATAGTTTATGAAACCAAAATAATAACCTGCTTTCTCATTCATCGAGTAGTGACAAAAAAACGCAAATAAAAATAAATTAGTATTTTGAACTCCATTTCGGTTTGAAATTCCATCATCACGAAAGGAGTTGAAGATGAAGGTGTTATGGGAAATTTAAAAACATCCGAATATTCAAGCATAAAAATAACGCAAAACTATTCTAATTTTTTCAATCCTTTCAACGGAAGTTAAGAGCTTTGAAAATAAACAATCAAAGATAGAACTCAGCTTATTTATTATTTATTTGAAAAGTTATCTGCAAAAATCCAGTTTTATTACCTTACCTCACAGAAGTGTCCAAGTTGATTTAGGATTTTAAACTGCGCAAAAAGTTGCTTATGCCTTAAAGTATCTCTTAATTGGGGGGTAATTCAATTTCATATTCAGTCGGTTTCGTGCATTTAGGCTTATTTTTTGAAATCGCGTTTGGCTATCTTCTAAAGTTTGGTTAATAGTATTATGCAATATCATGACGAATATTCGTGACAGCCGCCCAGTGAAAGAATTTAAAAAGCATTTTTTTTCAGGTGATGATGAATAAATTCTGGTATTTTATATTTTTAAAGTGGAATAGAGTTAGTTCGAATTTTTTTGGAAATTTAAGTACGTGAAAAATCTGTGTCAAATCTTCTCAAGATGATGTTACATTTTGAAGTCATTGCATTCAATCGTTTTTTTCACTATCCTAGGTTGCCTCCTCAGAGGTTTAATTGAAAAAGTGCTTTCTTTTGAGATGGATACGTTATAGAGAAGAAGAGCAGTGGTAGTTGGGGCAATTTTCCTAGCATGTAGTGAATAGCAACAATTACATAACACAATTGATTCGGTTTTTACAGCTGGTCGATATTAGAGTAAAAACCGAATTGATTAATGAGCAATTAAAGCAGCTTAGTAATGAAATGATGAAATATTTTTGGCTCGTTTTAAATATATCGCAATTGAGTCAGCACAAGACTGATTACCCTATTAGTTGATACAATCCGAATGGGAGTTAACATAGTAATATATTTTCTAAACATGCTGATTCAAGCTGCGATTACCTTCTTCCTGATATTACGCTTATCTAAGTTTGAATTTCCCGTTAAAAAGAGCCTAATAGGGTGGGTGGGAAATTTAAAATCTCTATCAACTTGATATGGTAGTGATTAGGCATTTGGAAATTTTAACAGTTTGCAGCAAATATATTTTTTAAAATATAATCTGCAGGAAGCTATTTCAAGTCCTCACAAACCTTTTGTTTGAATTAATCATGAGAAATTGTGCAACTGAAATCGCCAAACAAAGTGTCTCAAGCATTTGATTTAGTCCGGGGTGGGGGTGCATAAAAATGAAGTTGAGTGCTGCATCGGGGTATCATGGCGTCAACACTTATTTAATTACCTTTTTAGATTTGAGCGTTCAATGATATTTTTAATGGAGATTCCTTCCTTTAAAAATTCGATTTGCATAAATCCTTTCCTAGGAGACAACAAAGGTTTGTCTACGATGTGTTCAAGCAGGAAGTGTTACTTTGTCACCCCATTATATGCCACTGGCTAAAACGTAAAATAATTTTGAATGCTATTCTGCAATACACTACTAATTTAATTTAAAGAGCATTCCAATTCATCACTGGAATATAAAATTAATCATTTAATATATCTAGAAATAGATAGTATTTACATCATTAGCACTGACTGATTAAAGAGTAAGCAGATGTTAATTGAACAGTAAAGTTATTTATATCAAATGGCAGGCCTTATGATAGTTATCATTAGGCCTTTAGTCAACTTCAGGCTTCACAGAGGGAGAGAAACATCAAATCGAAAAAGTCGAGAGGGGGGGGGGGACAGAAGAGTGTTTTAAAGATGTAAAAGAGACAGACACAATGGGAGAAAAAGGTGAGGTGAGTACTGTGAAAGTAGTCGAACATGAAATGCAGTGGGGTGATGGTAGTTAGAAGTCAGAAGTCAACTGCCGGTTTATAGACTTTTTGCGGCATGAATATACGTTGCCCAGGGTGTACCACGTGGAGGTAAGTCTATCGCACACCCTTGAACAGCAAAGTAGGTCATTTACTAATGCGATTACGATCGTTAATTTAGAGATCTCACTTTTATCAGGAAACAGATGCTCATAAAACAGGTTAAATTATTATCTGTTTTAAATTTGTTACGGAAGTGCCTACCTAACTGGCTGGGTCATACATTAGCTCGTTATTAAATTTGCTGCACAGAGCAAAATTATTTTCGTTTTAAATTTGATTGAAGTCATTTAAGTGTTTCTAAACTATCAAATATCAATGCTTATAGTGATTAAATTATTTAATTTAAGTGTTTTTAGAAATGCAAGTGCCTAAATTTAGTGGGCTCCAACTAAACCCTCCTCCCTCCTCCTACTGAATCTACGATAATTGCCTACTAAGATGTTACTTGTTGTGACGTGATATTTTAATCACTATGTCTTCAAGTTAATGAAACGCGCAACCGTAACACAAGTAAAATGCACATCCTAACATTATAATCTGTGCGGACGTGCTTGCAGAGGACTTCTCAGCTAGTCAGCTATTAATGCTCATTGAATATATGTTAAATGTATGCCAAAACGAATCTTGTTTGCTGTGTGCGCAAATTCAATTAACGCTATACTCTCTGTACGTCTGCATCTTCTGTCCCATGAAAATACTTTATCTAATTCCGAGAGCCTTTCTATATTAGGGTATTTTGACATAGAGATTACAGAGGATAAGTCAAGGCTACCAGTTAACAAGGTTAAAACGCCAACCTTACTATTTAAATTTTATTTTCATAATGTTTTCCAATATTGTTGCATTAAATTTATAATTTTCAAATGAAGCTTTCAGCAGTTTACCTCGTCAATAGGACATTAAAAATTTGGAATTTAATTTAGATTTTCTAAATTGTCACACTGTCATCTCACGATACAATTTTCAGGTAAAGTTTAATCATGAAATATTTTCTCGATGATTTTGTTTT